AGTTAAACCAGCCTGGAGAGAGAAATTCAGACCAAATAGTCAGTGACAGTAACAGTGGTGGTGTGTGAGAAAGGGGGCTCCATTTCAAGAGTTAGATATTTCCTTTTTGAAAAATGGTCCTGGTAAGAACAATTTTGTAATAGGTAACATCCTTGAAACAGAAACTTGAATCATATTTCATCATTGAAATATGACTGATGTGCTATTTCTGGGGAACTTTGATGTGCTCCGTTAAGCTTACTACATTAAATTAATGGACCTTTAAACCAATATGTAATTACAGAGAGCATTTTAGGTATCCAATACTGTGCAAAGTGACAGAAATGAGAAGATAACACTGTAGATAATTTTATAGATTTTCTAACACTTTGTTCAATTTTTTAAATGGTAAATCTTTTCTTCTTTAAAATTATTAATATCATCTTATGTAACATGTGTCAACCTTCTTGATTATCCCAAAAGGTTAAATATCTATTATACATAGAGCACTTTATAAGACATAATTTTGAATATGTGTAAATACAGAACATAAACTATGGGGCTATTTGGTTAATAATTTTATTCCCAAGTACAAACTAACAGTACAAGGCAGAACAATTTAGGCAGTAAAAAGTGGATAAATGGAAGTAGCCTATGTATTTAAATAAATAAATTAAAACTGTAATATTACCTAATGGCAATGACTTTTTTTTTCTTTTGTAAAAAAGCTTTCTTTTGAACTTCAAAAATAGCATCTATATCTGCTTTTACATCTTCATTCCCTACTCTTTCTTTAACACACTTGTTTATAGGTCTGTTTCCTTATTACTTTGCTTAGTTACTTAAAAGATCACCAGTGTTCTTCTTAATGCTAAATCCAGAACCTTTTTCTGCCTTTATCATCTTTCCTTTTGATACATTGGACACTGTCAGCCTTCCCCTTCTTTGGTCCTTATCTGTCCTCACTTACTCTTCCCACTCTCTGAACTGCACCTTCTCTGGATTCTTCATTCCCCCTTTTCCTCAGAGTTGAATCTTTGAGTTGAATTCAGTCTAAGCTCTTTCTTCCATTTCTTCTCTGCCAATCTGAGGGCTTCCTTTAGTATAAGCACATGCATCCTCTAACAGTCTAGTCCTCTTACCTGAGCTCAGTTGCTCTCCAGCATAGTAACTTGCAGAGGTTGTGAAGTGCTTTGGCTCTCAGTAGCTGTTTAATCTTACAGACAATAGATGTCACCGCCCGCCTTTTATTTTAAACTTCACTTCCTTTCTTTGCCAGTATATTCATGTGTCAAAATTCAAATGCTACAAAAGGCTATATAGTAAAATATTTCCCACTTTTCTGCCATCCACTCAGCTCCTTTGCCCATTGGTAACCAGTGTCTAATTTTTTATATGTTTTTCCAGGGATGTATAAATTCTGTATAAATCTTTACCCGCATTTTACAGACAAAGAAGTTGAGACTCAAAGATTTCAGTAATTGGTGCAGATCACAGCGATGGTGAGCGGCAAAGCCAGAATTCTAATGAGAGTGTTCCAGTTAAAAATCTGCGACATCTCAGATTCCAAATGCCTGGTGGATATTTCCTCTTGGACTTCATACCTCTTCCTGTTTTCTGTTGTTACTCAAAAATTAGTTTATCCGCATAAATTCTCAGTCTTTGTAAATGGAACCAACATTCTCTGGTCATCAGTTTTGAAATTTTATAATAATAATTGAATCCTTCTTGTTCATTCCCTCATATACAGTCTCCTTCAAAATGTCTCTCGTATTTATACTCTCCATTCCTGCCACTGAGTTCTAGTTCAGGCCATCACCAAGCACCACCTGCTTGGATTACTGCCATAAGCTACAGGATGGCTCCTTACCTCAACTTTCTTTAACTTGTTCTGTTTACCATTGCCAGAATAATCTTCCCAACACTTTAGATGACGTTATTCCTCTCCAGTGGCTTCATTTTTCCTTTCTCATCCTGTTTACATTACTCTGCCTAACATTCAAGGCCCTCTATAATCTGGCCTAATCTTCCCTAATCAATATTTCTCTCTCTTAGCCTTCATCCCTTTTGGATATATCTCCTCTTACCGCAAATAAACACTTCATATTCTGGCCTTATTGCCCCAGTTCTTGTTTGTATCACGTAGACTGTCTTCCCTTCCATTACCAAAAACTACTTTGTGTTTCAAGTCCATTTCCATGCCTTCCACAGTAATGTTTGCTGCTGCTGCTATTTTTGTTATTAACTAAGTTTTTCTTTCAATTGAAAAAGTATACATGCACGTGATAAAAATTAAACAGAGTTCATAGGTGTGCAGTGAGCAAAATATAAGTGTCTTCCGTCTCTTCCCTCTGGTCTCCTCTGTAGAGGTGATCACTATTACTAGTTTCTTAGGTATCCTTCCTGAATTTTTTCATCCACACACAAGCATGTGTATGTCCCATCTTTTTTCTGTACAAATGCAAATATACTCTATGCATGTTAAGAACTTTTTGTCACTTAAGAATGCATCGGGGGGGGGGGCTTCCCTGGTGGCGCAGTGGTTAAGAACCCACCTGCCATTGCAGGGGACACGGGTTTGAGCCCTGGTCCCGGAGGATCCCACATGCCACGGAGCAACTAGGCCCGTGCGCCACAACTGCTGAGCCTGCGCTCTAGAGCCCGCAAGCCACAACTACTGAACCCGAGTGCCACAGCTGCTGAGGCTCATGCGCCTAGAGCCCATGCTCCACAACAAGAGAAGCTGCCAGAATGAGAAGCCCGCGCACCGCAATGAAGAGTGGCCCCCGCTCACTGCAACGAGAGAAGAGCCTGCACACAGCAATGAAGACCCAACGCAGCCAAAAATACAATAAATTAAAAAAAAAAAGAATGCATCTTGGGGAACATCTCATATTAGCACATAAATCTACTTCATTCTTTTACCAGCTGTGTGGTACTGTCTCTTTATTCCCAGTCCCCCACTGATGGACGTTAGAGTTGTTTCCAGTATTTTTGTTGTTGCCATTTACATTGCTCCATTGACGAGTTTGTTAAAAAAAGTTGCCTTTGTGAACATAAATTTCTAAAAGAGGAATTTGGGGGCTCAGTGATGTATATATATAAAATTTTTTATCTTGCCAATTACCCATCAATGAGATTTACACCCTTTTAGCTTTCTATCAGCAGTGTGTGAGTGCCTATTTCCCCCATGCTGTTTTCAGTGTTATGTATTATTAAACTTTAATCTTGGCCAATCAGATTGGTGAAAGCAACTCATTTTAATTTAAATTTTTCAAATTATCAGTGAGGTTTAAAACATCTTATATTTTAAAAACATTTATATAAATTCTGTGAACTACTGATTTTTCTTTTGGGCTGCTTGCCTATTTATTACTAAGAACTTTTTATATATTAAGATTATTGGGCCTTTGTTGATCTTACATGATATAAATTTTTTTCCCCAATTTTGGCACTTATCTTTTCACTTTTTCTTTTCCCATGTTAAATCTTAGTGCTTTTTACAGTTTTGTTTTTTATTTGCCATAAAAAGGAAACAAGAATCAAGTTTTATTTTATTCAGATGACTGGCCAGTTGCCCTTGAACTGTGTATTGAATAGTCTCTGATTTGAAATGCCATTATCATATATTAAATTCTGTGTGTATTTGAATCTATTTCTGGGACCAGTTCTCTTTTGATTTCTGTCCACAAGTAGGAAAAACTTATCTTATTACTATAGATTACATTTTAATATTTGGTAAGGCTTGTTTTGTTTGTCCTTATACTTTGTCAGAATTTTCTGCATATTTTCTGATTTGTAAACAGTTTATCTAAGTTCTCCCCTCCCCCCAAGATTCTGTTGATATTTTTATTGGGGTCATATTAAATTTATTGTTTAACCCTTTCCGAAATTTTATTTTATTGAAGAATGTTTTCTTTCTTTTTTTTAAAATTTCTTATTTTTTTGGCCACGCCGTGCAGCCTGCGGATCTTAGTTCCCCAACCAGGGATCAGTCCCACGCCCCCTGCAGTGGAAGCGCAGAGTCTTAACCACTGGACCGCCAGGGAAGTCCCTGAAATTTTATTTTTAATTGTTCCGCTAGTCTTTCAGTTTTGCTCATTTTCTGAAACTTTGTCTTTGTGAGAGAATGGGAGTTGGTTTAATTTAACAGGACTGTTATTTGACCATTTACACTACATGCAGTAATGTTATAGAGTCCTAAGAGTAACTATACAGGATGAGCCAAGACTCGCTGTACTAGGAACACATATTCAAGGTTAACTACAGTGAAAAAAAAAACTAGCATCTTGATTTTGGTAATACTTTAGATCACCTTAAGTCAAGAGTAGAGTAAATGACCTGAAATGGAGGAGGATAGATAGATAGCTCACTCACTTATTAGCTAGATAGAATGCTACACTCTCTACTATTTAAAAAAAAAATATATATATATATATATATATACACACACACACACACACACACACACACATATATACATATGAACTAATATCTGTCAGGTAAGCAAAATATATTGGAGGTTCTGTTTGTGAGGACTAAATAGGGCATAATTCATAGTGATCTTAATAAAGTCATTCATGATGACTTTTTTTTTAATAAACTTTATTTTTTAGAACAGGTATAGATCTACAGAAAAATGGAGACTGTAGTACAGAGGACTCCCACATACCCACATCCAGTTTCCCCAATTATTGATACTTTACATGAGTATGGTATATTTGTTACACTCAGTGAACCTATATTGGTACATTATTATTATTAACCAAAGCTCATACTCCGTTCTGATTTCTTTAGTTTTTACCCAGTGTCTTTTTTTTGTTCAGATCCCATGTAGGATACAACATTATATTTAGCTAATGTGTCTCCTAAGGTTCCTCTTGGCTGTGGCAGTTTGAAGTTTTTTATCATGGAAAAAAAGATATAATTTTTCTAAAAAGCTAGAAAATTTAAAACGAGTAGACAGTTTTAAGGTATACTGATGTTTTAACTTCTGTATTCCTTTCTCTTCTGCATTTCAGGCACTCTGTGAATGTGCCCTCCAGACTCCTTATGACAGCTTGAAACTTGGAATGTTGTCTGTTCTTTCCACGCTGTCAGGGACCATCGCCATCAAACATTACTTCAGCATAGCTTCAGGTAAAGAGAAGAAAGGAGACAATATATGGATAACATGCTAATCCTTTATTCATGTTGATATTTCAAGTCGTTTCCTCTGTAAAGCTTTAAATCAGGAAAGGTTTCAATTTCATATGGTTATATGTTAGGAATTTCTTTGAAAATGATTTCTTAACTAATTCCTAAGATAATAAAATCTTGCATCTTTGATCTTAACTCAAGGCTATAGTCTTTCTCAGTTTGCCCTTTTTTGCATTATATGTGGATGAAACAATATTTTTTAGGGTGCTTAAAATGGCTGGTTTGCTTTTGTATGTCTCTGACTTAAAATGCCCTTTGGATTTAAGTGTATTTCAAAGGCCAAGCGGTGGTGAATTTTAAAAGCAAATGTCATGTGCTTCCTTTTAGGCATATGTTATCCTTCTGGAAAATGATTAAAATAAAACTTTACCCCAGTTCAATAATGCTTTCCTAGTTGCCTGTTTAATATGATTTAACTCCAAAATGCGTTTGTTAATGCCCTGTGAGGAGCTTGCTTACATAACAGACTTAAGGCTAAAGTTTTTTGTTGTTTTATAGTCTTGGAATGATGCACAAGAAATATAACATTAAGTGGATGAGGAAGACTTTTCTCTTACTAACTTTCTACCTTTTTCTGCTATTGGTTGAACTTTTTGAACCCTGTGAATTTATCTAAGTAAATTGTTTCTAAGTAAAAAAATTGAAAATAATAATTTTATTCCAAAAACAATTGACATAGAAAAATGCTCACAAATATTATATTTTAAAGGTAGAAATTGGAAGTATCTACATATTCTGATTATATATGAATTTTTAAATTGTATTGGTGTGCATGGGGGAAAAAGATGTTTTAAAGTATTCCCGAAAGTTAATAATAAGGTCATGCTGGTTGTGGGTTTGGGGATGATTTTTGTTTTTTTCTTTGGGTTTTTCTGGGTTTTTCCCCAAGTTTTCTTTAATATCTTGATGAGAAAAAAAAGGAAAAAAGTAAGTTCCAAAACATGTTTGTAAATTTATAGATGAGTCTGCATTGTCCGTATCACGTGGGCAAGAAAAAGAATGGAGGAAATTACAATTTCCATGGTTTTGTAAAGAGAACTCATAGGTTCATCTTTCAAATGTTTTGCCTATTTAAAAAGCACTGAGGTTTTACCTAAGCTAGTACTTTTATGTCAAGCTGGAAATCAATAAGGTGACCATATGTCCCACACTGCCTGAGATGGTCTTGGTTTATGCCTGTTGTTATTTATGATAGTGTACTTTTCAACCATCACAAAATATGATCACCCTTAGTGTAAAAGATTGCAGTTGATAGGAATCATGGAAAAATCAGCAGGGGAAAGGAAGACAGGAATGAGAGACCCCGCCGAGAAGTTGAATGAGCTTTAATCTCCTGATTCCTCCTGAAGCTCACTCACTTATAACTGAGAGCTTCTCTACTATAAATAAAAACATTCACGACATAAACCTTATGTTACAGAATTTCAGGTGTGACTTTTAAAAGTTACTGCAACTATAGGATAGAACTTAACATGTAAAGCACAAGGCCAATGCATAACTAACAGGTCTTATGACCTCCATGGCAAGATGCTTAAAATCTTTAGGCTTCAGTTTCTTCTGTAAAAGTAGGTTGTTGAATCAGATGATCCCCAGGTCTTTTCTAGCTCTAAAATAATAAATTCTTATATAAACCTTTTGCAGTATAACTGTGCCAGCAATTGAAGTGGGAACAGCAAACTTAAAACTTTTGTTTCTCTCCTCTCTTGAATGTAAGGTTTTATTTGACAAGAAGACTTGTAATGACTCCATTTTAATGAGAGACTATTTGAATGCCCAAGATACAATCTATAGTTGTTTTGGCTTTTGCTGTATTCTTTAGTCAGTTTTTATTAATATTTTTGTGGGAAAGTATATTGATTTTAGATTTTAATCATTACAAAACTATTAGCATATACTTATTCTAGGTACCTTGACAGGAGAAAAAGAAGTGGTGATGTATATTGATCATGGGGTAGAGGCAGAAAATTTTGTTGAAATTTATTGTTAGAGACTTTCTCTTGAAAATGATAAAAATGAACCTATAAAATGAACTGCTTTTGAACTCTATGAATGAATTAAATCTGTACTACTTTTCTGTTCTTGTTTAGGAAATGTGGGTTCTTCCCCTAGATCCTCTGATTTAGTCAAATTAGCCCAAGAGTGCTGTTACCATAATAACAGGGGCATTGCAGCTCATGGAGTGAGAGTCCTAACTAATATTACTGTCTCTTGTCAAGAAAAAGGTAAGTTTGATTAAGACTGATATTATGTATAAACTTTTAGATTGGAGTTTCACCAGAATCCTGTGTGTATTTGGTTTTTTAATCCCTTATTATTTTTAGCCTGTGTGCTTTTATCTATTGGTTGCCTCCTCCTGAATGTTCTTCGGGCAGATTTCCTCAAGACTGCTTAATCCTTGGGGGAAAAAAAAATGAGGGGGCTTCCCTTGTGGCGCAGAGGTTGAGAATCCGCCTGCCAATGCAGGGGACATGGGTTCGAGCCCTGGTTCGGGAAGATCCCATGTGCCGCGGAGCAACTAAGCCATGCGCCACAACTACTGAGCCTGTGCTCTAGAGCCCGCAAGCCACAACTACTGAGCCCACGTGCCTAGAGCCCGTGCTCCGCAACAAGAGAAGCCACCGCAATGAGAAGCCCACGCACCGCAACGAAGAGTAGCCCCCGCTTGCCACAATTAGAGAAAGCCCGCGACCAGCAGTGAAGACCCAACACAGCCAAAAATAAATAAATTTATTAAAAAAAAAAAAATGAGGACTTTAGGATTGGGATTGCGGAATTGAAAGGTTTTATGGAGCATTGCCCGTTTCCTCCCATTGCTTACCTTTGCTTATAACTATCCAGTGGTATCAGTTTGTTCACCTGTAAAAAAAAAAAACCTAGAAAATTTAGGGAAAAAAAACCATATGAAGTTATCCAGTGGCTTAAATAACAGACAGTTTCACCTAGGGGGCAAATGAATTAACAGAGCAATGCAAATTAAATTTTCATGGAGTTTATCTCTAGGTATCTATAGCATTAAATGATTTGCACAATCAAGAAGGATGTGCATAGAAAATAATGCATATATTTTATTGTATTCCTAACGTCTTTTGACCCAAACATTTAAAGAAGTTCATGCTGGTGTTCAAAAACAGGAAGTGCATTTTGGATGTTTCATCTGTTTCAGTGCTTATTTTGATCTTTGTTAAGAATCAGCAGTCCCTCTTATCCCCACCAGACTTCAGCATTGCTTGTTACTAGTGCCTTTGTTTTCCTAGCAACCTGACCTTCACTAGACATTGTTTGCCAAGCCCCTATTAGTTATTTGAATAACTAATCTTGTTTTATTTTTCCATAGTAATAAGTATTTTCTACCATTTAACACAGCAAATTGCTGTATGTCCTCAAAGCTGACATATTCATTTATTTATTTATTCATTCATTCATTTATTTTTGGCTGCATTGGGTCTTCATTGCTGTGTGCAGGCTTTCTGTAGTTGCAGCGAGTGGGGGCTACTCGTCATGGTGGTGCTCGAGCTTTTCATTGCGTTGGCTTCTCTTATTGTGGAGCACAGGCTCTAGGCGTGCAGGCTTCAGTAGTTGTGGCATGTGAGCTCAGTAGTTGTGGCTCATGGGCTCTGAGCACAGGCTCAGTAGTTGTGGCACACAGGCTTAGTTGCTCCGTGGCATGTGGGATTTTCTCGGACCAGGGCTCAAACCTGTGTCCCTGCATTGGCAGGCAGATTCTTAACCACTGCGTCACCAGGGAAGTCCCAAAGCTGACATACATTAACCTAAATGTGGTTAAGTAATTTATTCAGAACTTTCTAGAAACTTTAGAGAAATTGTAGCCCAAAGGTAGTGAAAAGATGGTATAGTACTGCTATTACATGAGACATCTAAAGGGTTCATTTCTTTATGATCTGACTTAAAACATTTATAAGATTAAGTGGGGTATTGATTATTTCCTAAAAGTAGTTCCACTTGCATGAGAAAGTTGCATCCTAGGTGAAAATGGACCTGCATAATTTATGTCTTGTTTGGAAGATTGACACATGCTACATGGTTTGCTAGTTTTTTCCCTAGCTAAGCTGGTGACACTGTTTCAGTTAGGCTTTATTTATGCCTTTGTGGCTTTAGATCTTGGTTTATTGTATGTGTGTGTGTTTTTTAAAAAATATTAGTTTCATGTGTACAACCTAATGATTCAATATTTGTATATATTGTGAAATGATCACCACAATAAATCTAGTTAATATTCGTCACCATACATTGTCATTGTAAAGTTTTTTTTTCTTGTGATGAGAACTTTTAGGATCTACTCTCCTGACAACTTTCAGATATGCAGTAGAGTATTACTGACTATAGTCACCATGGTTTACATTACATTCCCATAACTTACTCATTTTATAACTGGAAGTTTGCACCTTTCCACCCCCTTCACCCATTTTGCCCACCCCCAACCTCCTACCCCCCACCTCTGGCAACCACCGGTCTGTTCTCTGTATCTATGAGCTTGGTGTTTGTTTGTTTGTTCTAGATTCCACATTTAAGTGAGATCATACAGTATTTGGTTTTCTGTGTCTAATTTATTTCACTTAGCATAATGCCTTCAAGGTCCATCCATGGTCACAAATGACAGGATTTCCTTCTTTTATAAAAAATGGCTAAATAATATTCCATTGTGTGTGTGTGTGTGTGTGTGTGTGTGTGTGTGTGTGTGTATGTATATATGTGTGTATATATATATATATACACATATATACATACACACATACATAACACATTTTCTTTATTCATACATCAGTGGACATTTAGGTTGTTTCTATATCTTGGCTAGTGTAAATAATGCTGCAATAAACATGGGAGTACACATATCTTTTTGAATTAATGTTTTTGTCTTCTTCAGGTGCATACTCAAAAGTGGAATTGCTGGATCATATAATAGTTCTATTTTTAATTTTTTGAGGAACCTTCATACTGTTTTCTGTTGCGGCTGCACCAATTTATATTCCCACCAACAATGCACAAGGGTTTCCTTTTCTTTACATCCTTGCCAACACTTGTTATTTCCTATCTTTTTTATAATAACCATTTTAAAAGGTGTGAGATGATCCCTCATTGTGATTTTGATTTGCATTTCCCTAATAATTAGTGATGTTGAACATCTTTTCCTGTACCTGTTGCCTATCTGTATGTCGTCTTTGGAAAGAAGTCTATTCAGACTCTCTGCCCATTTTTTAATCAGATTGAGTTATTGTGCTGTTGAGTTGTATGAGTTCTTAATATATTTTAAATATTAACAACTGCTTATCAGATATATGATTTGCAAATATTTTCTCCCATTCAGCAGCTTGCCTTTTCACTTTGTTAATGGTTTTCTTGGCTGTGCAGAAGCTTTTCGGCTTGATACAATGTATATATTTTTATAATCTTCAATAAGGTAGTGCTACAAGTCTAAAGATAGCCTTTGCATTTTAGAAGTAATGCTACATGTACTTTTTCAGGAAGGTTAGCTTTATGCGTGGAAGTATTTCCTATATTTTAGATTCCTTAATGTTTTCTTCTTCTAAGTGTGTGTGTGTGTGCATTTAATCTTCTCTACTTGACTGCTAAAAACAATTAGTGTTTTTCCTATAGACCTTTTGGCACTGGAACAAGATGCTGTCTTTGGCCTGGAATCCCTTCTGGTACTTTGTAGTGAAGATGATAGCCCAGGTGCTCAAGCCACTTTAAAGGTGAAAACATCAGTTATTTTAATATAATGCCTGTCTTCATTGCCTAAAGTGTGGATTGGCAATCTCTTTGTAAAGGTTCAGATAGTAAATATTTTAAGTTTTGCAGACAGTGCACTCTTTGTCACAACTGCTCAGTCTACTATTGCAGAAAAAAAGTAGCCATGGACAATGTGGTTTTTTTTTTTTTAAAAAAAAAAAAAAAGAAGGGTGATGGTGTGGCTGTGTTCCAGTAAAATTTTATTTACAAAAACAGGCAGGATTTGGCCCAAGTGCAAGAGTTTGTCAACTCCTGGCTTAAACAAATATTTGCCCTTGATCTTCACTTTCAAAGCTAGCATTTTGACTGTTATTATTCCAAAATACAGGCGAGGTAAAAATTTGAGCTTTGGCCTATTTTGCCGTCAGTTGAAAGTGTTTATTAAGTTGTAATAGATACATATGATGGTCCTAGATAATGTAAAGTTAAATAGAGCTCCTGCAGTTTTGGAAGTTTATAATCTAAGGTAACACTGATAAGATCACAAAGAACTGATGAAATTACTGCAGTCAAACTCATAAATGTGTAAGCGTGTATTAATTTCTAGAGTATGGAAGCCCTAGTTTTAAGGGCTTTTCACTTTCACTTAATTATAGAATCATCTTAGAGATAGTTAAAAAATTTTTAAATGAGACTATTATTGGATTGAAACATAAAATATAATTTTTGATGGTACAAAATAATTAAGAAAAGTGGAATTAATAGAAGTAAAAGGCTATTAAGTAGACAATGGAGAATGTAAGAACTATAACTTGTCTAAGGTATGGCTTGAGGGAAGTCATGACTTATTTTAGCATGTTAAGAAAAGGTATGATGTAGTCATACTGATGTACAGTAAAGATACTAGTACCATTAAATAAAAGCTGATAATCAAGGGGTGGTGAAGGAAGTAGGCAACATGTGATTGGCAAGTCCACAGAATCCCTTTGGAACCACAATACATTTATTTAAAAAGTTTAAAAAGAAAGAAAGAAAGCAAACCAAAACCTTTCCCACCAATCATAGGTGTCAATAAAACACTGGACTCAGCACAGTGGGACATACATGGATGGTCAAGAAAAGTCCCTTTGTTAGAGGAGCTCTCCATAAGAGGATACTGATATTTATATAAGGGGTCGTAATACCAAGCAGAATGTCGCAAGTTCTCTGGTAATATAAACAAAAGTGCAATTCTAATTGAGAGGACAGAGTGGGGAGTGATTAATTTCAACTAAGGATATTAGGGAAGACTTGAACAAGTAGATGTCATATGAATTAAGCCTTGAAAGACAGGGTAGAATTTCAGTATTGAGGAAGGATCGTTTGAACCTGAAGGACCACTGTTATGAAAGACAGGAAAGCAGAAATGTACCTGTTATGTTGGAAGAATGATAAGTAGCCCACTGTGGCTGGTTGAGGTAAAGGGAGATTAGAAGGTAGTTTGTAGCTCGATCATGGGGGATATCAAATGTCAGGCTGAGGAACTTTGGCTTGATTCTGTAGGTAATGAGATCTTAAAATTTTGAAGTAGTGACCATGCTCTAACTTTTGTTGTAGCTATTATTGTTATTTAAATATGTCTATTATGTACCAAACTTTGTTGAAGGCTTGTATATACATCTTTCACTGTTTACAATAACGCTAACTAGTGAAATTTGTATTCCTCTTATAGTCATGAGGAAATTAAGCCTCAGAGAGATAAAATAACTTGTTCACACACACTTAGTCAGTCAAGGGCAAGCTGACCTTAAACTCTGGGTCTGTCAGACCCTAAAGACATGATTATTCTTCCTAACACACTGAAAGCTACATGGTTGTAGCGTGAAGGATGGATTAATGGGCCCATCTTTTCAAGAGATTGGAATTAGGGAGACATTTATGTTGTAGTAGAGAGAATGAAAGGGAGCTAAATAGATGGGTATTAGAGACTTGACAAAAGTAGAAATGACTAGGTTTAGCAACCTGTTGGCTATGTTAGTTAGAGGACTTCTGGGTTTCTAGTTTTGATGGCTGGGATATTAGGGATGTGATTAACCGGCCTGAATAGAAGCTCTGAGACCAACTGATATTTAGATTTCTGTTGAGAAATAAGAGAAAATTAGAAGCCTCCTCCCCACTTCAGTGTGCTGAAGTCACCTAGGGCACCTTTTTTAAACTGCAAACTTTCGGTAACCCAAACACCAGGGAAAAAAAAGGTTAATTCATTAAGTTTGGGATGGATAGGGCCCAAGAATCTATATTTTCGTTAGCATCCTAGGAGATGCCATTATGGGTAAGTTTACAAACCACACTTCAGAAGCAGTTCTTGAAAAGTAATGAAAGTGCAGTAATATGACATTCAGTTTGGCATTTATTTGGCCTTTACAGCATTATTCCTTATGATGTTCATCTCAAGTCTTAGACTGAATAGTCTTAGATTAAAATGAGTGTTTAATGTACCATCCTGTCTTATTATTTTAGTTTTAAACATGGCACACTTGCAGATCTTAATATGGGATTCAATGTCATGTGTTTCTTATTAAGAAAAATGTCATGCCTACAAAAAACCCTTTTCCTTGATTTTTCCTAGTAACTTGTAGAGAGTTACTTTCTTTAAACTTCACTTCATATGAACCTTCAGAATGTAACTGGTCCATCTTCTATTCAATATGCAGATCGCTCTGAATTGTATGGTGAAGTTGGCCAAGGGTAGGCCCCATCTCAGCCAGTCTGTAGTTGAGACCTTGTTGACTCAGTTGCACAGTGCTCAGGACGCTGCCCGGATCCTGATGTGCCACTGCCTGGCCGCCATTGCCATGCAGCTGCCTGTGTTGGGCGATGGAATGCTCGGTGACCTCATGGAGCTCTACAAGGTGATTGGACGATCAGCCACAGACAAGCAACAAGAACTTCTGGTAAGGAGCCACTTTTTGAACCTGATGTGGACGAATAGGATCTGGTCTAGTGGGAATTACTTTCAGAATTCCACAGGTTAAAGTAATTAGCTGAGACCAAGAGCATGCTGAAGTCAAAATAGGGCTGGGACCTGGAGCTTTTTACCATTTCCTCTTTTGGTGTAGAAAGCCCTATTTAGTTCACATGTAAAACTGCTTTCTTCCTAAGCCCTGTCAAATCAGCTTAGTGTAGCCAAAGCCTTCAATCTGATATTTTTGTTTTATTACAAAGGACAAAATGAAAATGAAGGTTTTTTTCTTTTTTATACAAGACAAATAAATAATGAACCAAACCGTGTATTGTTCTTCCAAAAATGTAAGTTAAAGACCTAGTGATATCAATGACCATAAATTAACCCAATTCCTCTTTGCCAATCCAGGACCTCTTTAGCTGTTTAGGATCCAGTTTAGGTTTCAGTACAGTCCGGGGGCTGGGGAAGGTACATGCTTAGAAAAAAAACAGAAGGTGTGGAAGCTGTGTAATAATGTTTAGTTGAAAGTTCTCCAGGGCTGAGAGTAGACTACGTTCTAAATATGCATAAATTATATGTAAGCTTTAAAGTAGCCACTCCGTATTGTTTGTGGTCATCTGGCTTTATGGCTTGGGAAAAAAACTTAGTGAAATTACTTACTCAAGCCCATTTTATGTTTAATCCTGCAGGGGGCGTTGTGTAAAAGATTGCCCCCATTTCATCATTTGCTATCAGTAAAGGTTACCCAGATGACTAAGTGGCAGTGGTCGTGGGAATCAGGCAGTTACCACAGTATATATGGATCCTTGTGTGTATCAGCTTTGGAATACTGAGAAGCAGTTAGCCAAGTTTATTTTTCATTGAAGCAGCATTTTCAATTAATGCTTTTTATTGCTTTTTTCTTAGTACTACTTTCAAGCAACTTTAAATTATGAAACATAATATTCAAAAACACATAAGGAATAATATGATGAAAGCTTTTGCATCCATCACCTAGGTTAAGAAAAAATGTTACTAGTACACTTGACTTGTACCCCGCTGTGTATCTCTCTGATAGTGTCGTCTTCCTTCCTATCAGGATAGGTAACCACTCTCCCAAATTTGGTGTTTGTCATTCCCATGCATGTTGTTACATATTTACTACCTTAGTATATATCCTAAGTGATATGCAATATTTTTGGCATATTTTTAACTTTGTGTTCTCATACTGCATGTAATCTTTTGCATTTTGCCTATTTTTGCCTGTTTTGTATGAATAGTCTATACTGATAAGTGTATTTCTAGTTTATCCACTTCACTGCTCTATAGTATTTCATTGTGTGATTATATCATAGTTTATCCATATTTATGGGCATTGTTTCTAATTATTTGCTGTTATACACAATGCTCTGAGCAAAGGAATAAAGTAGAAATTTTATAAATGTCAAAGGAAGACAAATTTTGTTCTTTTTTGATAGGCTCTAATTAGTTTTTAATGCTTTTGGGTAAAGTTATCTTTGACATTGCATAGAGTTAATGATTTTCTTGACTTTCTTACTTCTTGCTCGATGTTAGGTGAGCTTGGCCACTGTGATTTTTGTAGCCAGTCAGAAAGCACTGTCTCCTGAAGTAAAGGCAGTAATTAAGCAGCAGCTTGAAAGCGTCTCCAACGGATGGACTGTATACCGAATTGCCAGACAGGCATCCCGAATGGTACGTAGTATCCTTCTATGTGAACTGGGTTGGTGAAAATGGCAGATTATGAACCTTAGGTTGTGTGATTGTTACTCCTAGTCAAAACTAAAGATGAAGGTAGAAGTACGTTTTAGTCATGCGATTAAAAGATGATGGAGGAAAGGACCTAATTTTTAACATATGCACAGAGAATGGTATATATGTTATTATGGGGAAGTTCCATGGGAATTCCAAAAATATGAGCTCTTTCTGGCTGTAGGTTGTTAGCAGCACTTTCATTTTGTACTGTGCTCCCGTAAGCACAGCTCCCTCCTACCCACGTTTATATTCTCCCCTTTCAGTACACCATGTCGTTCTTCCCTTTCCCTCTCCAACTTTATCATTCTTATGTGGAAACGGGAAAGTTTTAGTCTTCTGTTCCCTCTCAACCATATGGAAATCCTAACGATTTTTATTTACTTTTGTTTGAGAGGAAATATAGAGCTTGGATAGTATAGAAATTCTTTGGGGATAAGTCCAGAGAACAAAATTTGAGAAGCATTATTCTAGGTGATTGAAGCACATGTTCACATTTTACAGTGTTTCTCAAATGGGAGAAGAAGCACTATTGACAGGATATTTCTTTATTATACCCAACTGTCCCAAGCATCCAAGCACTGCAAGACAGTGAGCATCCCTCGCCCCCATGCATTAAAAGGCATTCACATCCTCCCACAGCTACCCTTCCCTCAGTCGTTTCCAGAGGGCGCAGTGCTCCTCTTGGTAATCGCTTGATGGAACTTAACTGGAGTTCTCCCCACCCCACTAAATAGCTCATACAAAATGGCATACAATAAATATTTATACTTTCTATATTTTGAACTAAAGTTCTAGACATGGGTTATAGTTACTTCCATTCATTTTCTCTTTGGAACTGTTTTGGTAAAGAACTTCAGTCATTATGTTACATAAAAGCAGCTCAGCATGTTTTCTCTGAAGAAATACTTAGACTGAGTCTCACAGAGTTATAATGTGAGGAATGATTGTTAAAACTTATCCAAGGTTTGGGTTTCTCTTTTAGCTGCTACATCAACTAATTCAAGTGTAAGAACCTCATTATCCTCCCCCGCTTTTTTTTCTTAGGGTAATCACGACATGGCCAGAGAGCTTTATCAGAGTTTGCTGACTCAGGTTGCCTCAGAACATTTCTACTTCTGGCTGAATAGTTTGAAAGAGTTCTCACATGCAGAACAGTGTCTCACTGGGTTGCAAGAGGAGAATTATAGTTCAGCACTTTCTTGCATTGCTGAGTCTTTAAAATTCTACCACAAAGGGATTGCTTCCTTAACAGTAAGTTCTCTTAATTCTCCTTTGGTGATGATGACTTGTGTGACAATGGTCTCTCTTTTCTTTTGGGGCTTATCCTCTTTTAACCTTGAAAAACCTGCTGATATATATGTATTTGGCAGTATTACAGTAATAAATAGGACATGGAAGTAGATCATTAACCCCTCCCCCACTTTTTAACATTCATAGATTGGTGAACATTTATCATTTTGTTTTTATCAAGTATCAGGTACACATGTGAAGAGGATTGCTGAATCCATGCAGGAAGGATAAAGTGGAGATAGGGTCCTCCCTTTCCAGATTCCTGTTAGTAAGACTCCAGCCTGGGTGACTGCTACCGTCAAACATAAACCCTCCACCCCATCTCATACCTGGCAACTACTCACTAGGAAACTAGAGTTTCTTGCTTTGTAAATAAAGAAGAAATTATGAGGGATGCTAATGTCTCACCTTTTATCCCACTGTGATATCCTCCTATTCCAAATTAACAGTCAGCCAGCTACTATTCCCTTTTTTTTTTTTCCCCAAGAAAGAAAGGGTGTGGCAGAGAGAGCAGATCCTTAACATTTCCTTGAAACTAGTTATATTCCTAAGAATCTGTTCCCTAAAATGTGCATTTTCTGTATTAATGCAAGGACTTTTTCCCCTTAAGAGTAAAGAGTTTATGTAATCAGCATTAAACATGTTTAAAATATTGTCACGTGACTTTAAAAATTGTATATATTTAGATGGGGCCATAAAACTTTTGCTACCTGTTTTTTTTTTTTTTGCGGTACGTGGACCTCTCACTGTTGTGGTCTCTCCCGTTGCGGAGCACAGGCTCCGGACGCGCAGGCTTAGCGGCCATGGCTCACCAGCCCAGCCGCTCCACGGCATGTGGGATCCTCCCGGACTGGGGCACAAACCCGTGTCCGCTGCATCGGCAGGCGGACTGTCAACCACTTGCGCCACCAGGGAAGCCCTACCTGTTTTATATTTATCACATAATCTAAAATATTTTTAATGGTGGGCCATGCAAAGAGAAGTATTTCAAAGTAGAACAAAGAATAAACAGATGTCACAAAAGAGACAGACTATTCAGATTACTGTGGGTACATATCTTTTGAAGAATGATTTATTGATTAACTGCCATTTTAAAACAGGAATATAGGAATGGCTGCCCTCCATTTTAAGGGGTAGCACTGACTGCAGTGATTCTCTCCTCTTGATTATCTTAGGAAAAGATTGTTGTTACCTATATCAGGCTAATAAATACCTTAGAAAATGAAAAAGTACAGTTATTGCCTCTGATCAGTAGGGTAATTTCATTTTCTAGTTGATGTGGAACAGAAAATTGTTAATCATGCAGTACAGTAAATGGTAAGAACTGTGAAACAGGCTCACAAAACAATGAGGCAGATAGAATTAATATTATGAAAAATCCTGTTGAATATTTAATAGTCTTTTAATGATTTGTGTGTATGTGTGTTTAATGAGGCTTGGCAGTGATTAAGGACTGAATTCTGACGTAGGAAGAAAGTACCCAGTTGACAGAAGGCCCTTGTCTTAGTCTCCGTTCTGCCATTAACACAGGCAAGGGCAGGTTATTGGGCCTCAAATCATCTTTTGAAATGGAGTTCCTTTATTCAACACTGTAAGCACTTGCTATGTGCCAGACACTGCTTTGAGGATAAAAAGAAATCAGGAAATGATTCTCCACTTGAGAATAGTCTGAAAGGGAAGGCAGTATGATCCATACAATCATTTGGAACTTCTCACATTTCTGATTGTACTATACTATCAGGGTTTTGTTTTGTTTTAAGGTTTTTAGAAAACCTGTTGATTTGACAAGTATGGATTTGACGGTAGCCTTCTGTCTTTTTAACGAAGATGATTTGAGCATGAATTGCCCTTTTACTCTCTGACACATGAATGTTCTAATTTGAGGTTGTCAGCTATGAGGATTATACTTTTTACCTTCTTCAACCAAACTAAAGAGAAGTTAAAAATTCTGTGCTCGTGGGGCCGCTATGGCGATGTTTGGGTGCCTAATTTCCCAGTGCAGTGATTAATGATAGTTATCTTGCTTCTTAGAAATAAAAATTGTAAGAAGTGTTTGTATTAGTTTTCCATGCTGTGTAACAAATTACCACAAATTTAGTGCCTTAAAACAACACCCATTTATTATTTTACGGTTTCTATGAGTCAGAAGTCCAGGCATGACTTAACTTAACTGGGTCCTCTGCTCATGTTGTCACAAAGTTGCAATGAAGGTGTCAGCTGGGGCCAGTCTCGTCTGAGGCCTGGGCTCGGGGTCCTCTTCTAAATTCGTGTAGTTTTTGGCAGGATTTATTTCCTCACAGCCGTAAGACTTGTGGAAGCTTCAGGGCCTACAGGAGAATCTCTTACCTTCAAGACCCTCTTTTAATGGACTCACCTGATGAGGCGAGATCTACCCAGAATAATTTCCCTTTTGATTAATATAAAGTCAGCTCATTAGGGACCTAAATTACATCCTCAAAATCTATTACCTTTGTCGTATTCCATTAGATAGAAGCAAGTTACAGGTTTTACCCACACTTTAAGGGAGATATATAAGGTGTGGAGACTGGGGCGGGGGTGGGAGTGGTGGCATGAGTTAGAGGAACGATTTTAGCAATCTGCCTACAATGGTGGGTTTTAAATTTATTTTTTATTTTATTAAATATTGAATAGGTATGGTATCTACATATGTATTATGTGACGTATATAAAAATATCAAATATCCAAGTACACCTAGCACTCAGTTTAGGAAATGGGACATTACCATTCCCTTAAAAATTCATGTGTGCCCCTCCATGTTTGTATACCAGTTCCCACCTCACAAAGGTAACCACAATACTGAATCTTTTTTTTTTGTAAGTTTGTTTGATTATTTATTTATTTTTGGCTGTGTTGGTCTCCATTGCGGCGTGCGGCCTTCTCATTGCCGTGGCTTCTCTTGTTGTGGAGCACAGGCTCTAGGCGCGTGGGCTCAGTAGTTGTGGCACGTGGGCTCAGTAGTTGTGGTGCACAGGCTTAGTTGCTCTGCAGCATGTGGGATCTTCCCAGTCCAGGGCTTGAACCCGTGTGCCCTGCATTGGCAGGCGGACTCTTAACCACTAACCACTGCGCCACCAGGGAAGTCCCCATCCTGAACCTTGTATGTACCATTCCCTTGCCTTTCTTTACAATTTTAACATGCTTTTCTTTAACTCTTAAGGTATTGTTTTATGTTGCTTGTTTTTGAATTTTATATAAAAAGGAATCATGTATTTTTCTTTGACTTGCTTTGGTTATCTAAATTATATTCCTAAGATTCATCCATCTTGTTGCATAAAGCTTTAGGTCAGTTTCACTGCTGTATACCCATGTATTATATGATTATACATCAATTTATTTTCCCATTCTAATGTTGATGGAAATTTTGATTTTTCCAGTTTTTTGTTATTAAAACATTACTGCTGTGAACATTCTTGGACACATTTTGATGCACCTATGTAAAGGTTTCTCTGGGATACTGATTCTCAACTGGGGATGATTCTAGCTCCATTTGGCAATGTCTGGAGACATTTATGGTTATCACAACTCACCAAGGTGTTAGTAGCATTTAGTGGGTAAAGGCCAAAGATGCTGCTGAACATCCAGCAATGCACAGGACAACTCCCCTCAACAAAGAATTATTTGGTCCAAAATGTCACTAGTATACTGAGATTGAAAACCCTTCTCTAGGGCAGTACTCAGTCAGAACTATGTTTCTGCCCCCTGCTCCAATTTAAAAACGTGTGAGGATGTTTCTGTTTGTCCCAGTGATAGAGGGGTTGGAGGGACTGCTGTTGGCCTAATGCTCAGTGGCTGGAGATGCTTAATCTCCAGAAGTGCTGAGGATACTCCTGCCCCTATTAAGAGATACTGATCTAAAATACTACCTTGGAGTGGAATTGCGTAAGGTATATACATCTTCAATTGACTAGCTAATACCAGGAGTTTTTCCATAGTGGTTTTACAAATTTACAATCCTTCCAGTAGTGTATAAGAGTTCCTGTTACTCTACATTTTCCCCGTCACTTGGTATGTTCTGGAAGTTATGATTGGAGTTTCCCAAATTACTAATACAATTAAACTTTATATATCTATATATTTGAGGTATGATTGATATATAACATTGGATTAGTTTCAGATGTGCAACACGACTTGATATTTGTATATATTGTGAAATCACTACAGTAAGTATGGTGACAGTTAACATCTGTCACATACATAGTTAGAAAATTTTTTTTTCTTGTGAAGAGGACTTTTAAGATCTACTCTTTTAGCAACTTTCAAATATTCAATATAGTATTTTTAAAATTTATTTTTTCTTCCAGTTTTACTGAGATATAATTGACATACAGCACTGTATAAATTTAAGGTGTACGACATAATGATTGACATACATACGTCATGAAATGATTACCATAATAGGGTTAGTGAACGTCCATCATCTCATATAAATACAACATTAAAGAGATAGAAAAAACAAGTTTTCTTCTTGTGGTGAGAACTCAGGATTTTACTCTCTTAACAACTTTCATATATATCATACAGCAGTATTAGTTATCTTTATTGTGTTGTATTTATATCCTTATATCGTTATATCCTTAGGACTTACTTATAACTGGAATTCTGTACCGTTTGACTGCCTTCGTTCAGTTCTCCCTCCCAACCCCCACCCAGCCTTCCACCTCTGGTAGCCACAAATTTGATCTACTCTTCTATGAATTTGTTTGTTCATTTGTTTATTTACATTTAATGACCTATGAAATTCAGTTTCTAATGCGCAGCATACCGATTCAGTATTTGTGTATATTTCAAAATGATACTATGATAAGTCTAGTTGTCATCTGTCACCATACAAAGATGTTACATAATTATTGGCTATATTCCCCATATGGTACATTATATACCTGTGGTTCATTTATTTTGTAACTGATAGTTTGTACCTCTTAATCTCCCTTAGCAGTTTC